GGCACAGAAGAAAACAAAAACATGACACAATTGCCAAATAGGATCCTCATGTTTACAAAGCTTCTGTAATGCTTCCCATGAAAACAACCTTCCCTCCATTGCTCAAATTAGGAATACATTGCTACACATTAGTTCAGTGTTGAAACTTAGAAATTATAGAACTTATTTTATTATGCCTCCTTTGGCTACTAAGGTGGAGTTCATGTGCTGCATGTGTCTTTCCTCTTTGAAGCTATCATTCAAAGAGTGCTGCAAACCTGACATTTCCCAGTCCTAGCCTTCTTTTCTTCATTTTCTGATTCATCGCAAAAGAAAATTAACCTGAGTATTATGTTTGCTTTTTTTGTGTTTAGCCACACAAATTGCTCTCACACAAAAAATCCTACAAAAGAAAACAAATCAGTGCTAAGTCAACTAAGGCAACTCATAACTACATGGATTTTTTTTTCATGATGGTGGTGAGAGAAATATGCTGGGTCCGGTCAACCACAGACTTATTCATAATCCCACCGTCAGGATTTTGAGACCAACTTATAAAGGTAATTCAACAAACAGAAAAGGAAAACAGAACTTAACATGTAGATGCTTACATCTTGCAAAAAGCACCAATATTTGGCCCTTTGAATACTTTATAAACAAAGCACTTGATTCTTCCCCAAAATACTCAGGGTATGCGTATGTGTGTTTGTGTCCCACCTTGACTTGGCATTCTCCATTCATTCCAAATAGCATAACACTTTCCTAGCCCAAAAATCGCACACCTTTGTACACAAGGTCGTCTTCTTTGTTCCCCTGAGGCTTGTGGTACTATTTGAAATAATTCAGTCCTGCCACAAGAAAAAATTTCTCCAGGAAGAGTTCAGAATCCAACACTGCTATGTGGGCAGCCCGCCCAATCAGCGTGTTGGCTGTGTTTGGCAAGGCATGGAACACGTCATGGCGGATCAAAGTGCAGTCTTTGGCCCCAATGACTGGTTGGAGGAGGTTGTTGATCATCTCGGCATACACTGGACCTTTAAAAGATGAGGTAATATTGCCACATTTTATATACAATGCATACCCAACATCCTCAATACATTCGACATTTGACAAAATGAAGGCAGCAGCACCATCACCATCATAACTAGGCTTATTATTGTAATTAACACAACAGTAATAACAGTACATGGTCTTGATCCTATAAGTAATGCTAACTATTTGGCTAATTACTGATTAGTATGTCTAATGTATCTAAATCCATTCAACTAGTTACTAACTAATGAGCCAACACTTAATAGAAATCTCACTGATACAATGGCTTTAGGCTCATTGTAGCTAACACTAATAGAAGATTCAGGCCTGTGATAGACAAAACAGCCATATATCAATAATATATATGGGAAAGTAATAGTAGTACCTCATTGTTGTTCCCTGTCTCTTTTTGTGAATCTACTAAATTGTTGAATGTATCTACTACAGCTGTACCATATCTCTTTGTATGAATTTGCTACCCATCCTTTAGAGTGGAATTTGCTATCCCACTCTTTCCTGACTGTGAGAGCCGTTCAGCAGTGGAACTCTCTGCCCCGGAGTGTGGTGTAGGCTCCTTCTTTGGAAGCTTTTAAACAGAGGCTGGATGGCCATCTGTCAGGGTGATTTGAATGCAATATTCCTGCTTCTTGGCAGAATGGGGTTGGACTGGATGGCCCATGAGGTCTCTTCCAACTCTTTGATTCTATGATTCTAGATTCTAGGATACAATAGTCTAGAACAGAGGTTCTCAAACTTTTTCAGCCATGTGACTCTTTCTGAAGCAAAGGTTTCTCATGGAGCCCCAATAAATGTTTATATATTATATTATATACAGTGTATATACTGTATATCAGACATGAGTAAACTTTTTGTCGTATTGTGTTTTAAATTTTGTCAGAGGGCTGGGCGAGCAGCAGATGGATGGAGAATGTTTGTGTGAACTAATTGGAAAAAATGAACTGATTCCTGTGCACACTGAACATATCTAATTTGTAGCACCAAAAAAGGAATAAAAATACAATATTTAAAGAACAATTTTAAACAAGAGATAACGACCCAGTCTTTGCAATAGTAGTAGTAATACTACTACTACTACTAATACTACTACTAATAATAATAATAATAACCTCTGGAGTTGTTGTTGTGTAGTTCAACCCCCTTCTGCCATGCAGGAAAAGTACAATCGAAGTACCTCCTGAGTGGTGTGAACTAATTGGAAAGCAATGGATACATTCCTATGCACACTGCACACATATCTAATTGGCAAGGAAGGTGAGGGGAAAAGGTTTTTGGTGGCAAAAAAGGGGGGAGGCTTTTGGCAGTGAGGGAGGCAGGGAGTGGGGGAGAAGCAGGAAAGAGGAGGGAGGATGAAGAGGAGGAAACTGCAGAGCCCTGCAATATGCTTTGTGGAGTCCCAAGGGCTCTACAGAGCACACTTTGAGAACAACTGGTTTGGGAAATTTAACTAAATTGTTATGTTCCATAGTCATCTTTTGATATGAGAAGAGCTGCCAGGTGGAAGATGGCTCAAGCTTGCTTTTTTATCCTCCAGTGGACCTGAATCATTAGATTCCAATTATGAGAAAGAAGGTTCTGTCTAGACATTAGGAATCATTTCCTCATATAAAGATGAAAATAGATTAACTTGGAAGGTGGTGAACTCTCCTTTGTTTGAAGTTTTTAAACAATAGGTAGAGGACCAGCTCTCAGTGAAGGAAGAGGGAGCAGGTTTCTGCTTCCCTGGAAACTAGGACTCAGAGCCATGTGTTCAAATTACAGGAAAGGAGATTCCATCTGAACATTAGGAATTACCTGCTGACCATGAGAGATTTTCAGCAGTGCAAATCTCTGCCTTGGAGTGTAGTGGAGGCTCTTTCCTTGGAGGCATTTAAACAGAGGCTGGATGACCATCTGTCAGGTGTGAGGTGCTTTGATTATGCTTTGACTGTGTGGCAGGGGATTGGACTAAAAGGTCCATGTGGTCCCTTCCAACTCTATTATTCTATGATGGTATGATTCTCAGCTTTAACTGGGACTCTTAAATTGACAAGTGTTGAACCTGGTATCAGGTGTTCATCCTCTCTGTGAAGCTATCATATGTTTTTTTCATATGTTTAAATTGAGACTTTTTGACCTCACAAATTATCATACCTGTATGTCTGTCTTTAAGTGCAGGTTTACACATTTCTATTCTTGCAGAATGAAACGGTACATAGCGGTCTTGGGGTGAGGCCACCAAAACAACATTTTTGAAATACTGAAGACCTGAGAAGGGGAAATACAAGAAAATGTTACAGTAAGGAATTTCCATGCCTGTCCACATTGATTGATAGTGTACATCTTTAGAGGTCTTCTATTTGTTTGCTGTACCCACCAGCTTCCTACCCCCCACCCCCCAAAATCTGCTGTCATTATTTCTGGTCTCCTCCATAAGACCATGTATTTCCTTATGCACAGTTTATTACAAGTCAACCCACCTTTGTATGTTTTGCAAAGAAGGCTGGACTTATGTCTTTCCCCGGTGACATCCTGTGGGTGTGTGAGTAGATTGAGACAGTCTGTCATTCAATTTCTGTCTTGCCCATTTGATTACTTTGCTGGAGAGATCTGGTATTATCTCTCACAACAGAACATGAATTAGATTGGGGTAGGCAAAGTACAGGTATGTGCTGTATAGCCACCATGAGAGAATGATACATTTTAGATCTAGGAGATGATTTATTTTTTAAAAAAAGATTGATCAGGAGATATGAAAAAGAACTTTCCTTGGTAACCTAAGGTGACCAAAAAGATGGGCAAAATGCCTCCACATTCTTAGAGAGCAATTTTGAACATTTCATATAAAAGAAAAGTTGAAATTTTGTATAGGGAATACAGCCTTCCAAGGCCTCCTGGGGGCCAAATGATGTTCCTTGCCTCCTATGTACTGTGAAAATGGAATTATATCACCCATGTGTCTTAAATGACAAAAATAAATATGTAGTTGCCTAGCTGTTCTCAATATAACAATCAGACACCCAAAATTCTTTTTCATGTTTTAGTGGTGAACCAGAATGTAACTCTTTCACAGTTCATTCATGCATGAATGGACTACAATTTCAAATTTTTTTCTCTTTCTTGAATATGATTAAGAGAGCTGTTGTACATGTTTCAATAATTTTTCAAACTTTGGGACTATTTCCCTTAAAGAATTGCTCAAAAGGGCATCTATGGAAATTGACTTGACAGATCTTCTCATCTCCAGGACTACTGTGCTCCCTGTCTTCTTATGAACCTCTCCTGTTACAATATTAGGCAATATAAACCTTGGTAATGACAGTTTTGCCCCAAGATACCGATTTGTTGAATTTTATGCAGAAGTCAGACCCAAAGAAAAAAAAAAGCAACCCAATACTGTGAGACATCTGGTTAGGGATGAGGGAATGATCAGCTGCCATGTAAACTGTATTGTCGAAGGCTTTCATGGCAGGAATCACTGGGTTGTTGTAGGTTTTTTCGGGCTGTATGGCCATGGTCTAGAGGCATTCTCTCCTAACGTTTCATATGCATCTATGGCAAGCATCCTCAGAGGTAGTGAGGTCTGTTGGAACTTTTTCACATTTTATGACTTCATTGTATATGAAAACTATGTTTTTTGAAAAAATGTGCAAAAATATTTTTGTCCTGAATATTCTGGGAAAAACTTGTTCGTTTGTTTTTACAAAAAAACTGTATTTGTGGAATAAAAATGTAAAATTTTCATTAAAAATGGGTGCCACTTAAATATTAATAATGCAATAAAATAAAATGCTATACCAGATTTAAATTTTACAAAGAAAGATAACCTGTAGAGGGTTGCATGTTTTGATGGCTATCCAATATTTCTGTTAAACTGCTGTTTTGTCTAAAAGTATTTCATAAGGAAGGTGTATAAAGATGTAATGATCTTCTGGGAAACTATAATATATGAAGTGTCTATTTTCTGTATGCTATCTATTTTAAATGGCAATAATTGAACTTTTTAAATTTAAATCCAATTTTACTCACCTGTTTTTTGGCTGAGCTGATACAGAAAACATTTCCGCAGATCTGTATTGTCCCTGAAGGTCAGCTGCAACAGTGAACCAGATTTTTTCAGCTTCTGCATTAGCCACAATCCTGGAATGATAATTGACATGTGTTGATTTCTAAAGACAAACATGCGATAAAACTCTCCTAAGCTGATAAGAGGAAATCAATTCTGCATTTTCCCCAAAGCAATTTGAAGTATTTAGGTATTTCCAGACCAAGATTCTAATTATTTGATACATCAGTTTTAAAGCATATGCTAATCAGATAGGTTTGATCGATCATATGCAAAGGTTACACAAACAATGCTTACTCTAATTTGTTTAGTTGCTACTGCAACAAGAAAAAAGTAACTTGTTTACATAAAGATTATATCTAAAGAAGACTGTGAAGACCCCTATCTCAGTTTCCTGAAAATTTCAGAAATCTTTTCCAGCAGCGCTTACCTGTACTAACTAAAGTACTGTTGTTGTACAATGTTCCTAAGTGAGGCCCAGAGAGGGATAAGAATGTGTGTAGCTTGTTGAGGTAATATCGAAACCTGGGCCGGGTTAACACTGATCGGATGATGACGTTACCAAGGGAGTGACCGATAAAACTGCAGAAATAGAAAAATAATGCAATTACAGGTGTTCATCTTAGAATTTTTGTTCAAGGCATTGGAAGAGATTTTGCCATCCTTTTTAAATCTCTTGTTTGCCCTGTCATCATATTTGTTTTTAGCCATCTTGGAAAAAAGATGGGATAAAAGCAAGGTGCATATGATATGATATGATATGATATGATATGATAAATACATTTTTTAAAAAAATCACCTATTGTCTTGTCATTGAAAATACTTAAGATTTTGTGTTTATTTTATTTTATTTTATATGCCAAAATGTGTACATGTGTGACCTGCTAGTTTCACTAAGGCCCCTTTTACACTACCATATGCAATCCATATTATCTGCTTTGAACTGGATTATATAGTAGCATAGACTCATAATCCAGTCCAAAGCAGATTATCTGGATTATCTGTTTTGATAATCTGGATTATATGACAGTGAGATATTTGCCGCCTTTATTCCAGGAGTTCACAATATGGTTCCACCAACTTCATGTCTTGCTGGTGTTTTCTTCAACCCACACATGAGCAGCAATAATAGATGCCCGTGTACCTATTCCAACCTCTTGGTCCTACTCCTTCACATTTAGCTATTCTTGGCTTTCCCTTTAACTTCCCTAGACTCCGCATATTTCAACAATTTTAACAACCAGTTCTGATATTTTGGTACAAACTAGCTAAATGATACCACCATTCATTTAGAACTGTGATTCGCTAACTTTGGTGTTTCAGATGTTTTGGACTTCAGACACTTCCAAAATTCCTAATCGTTGGCCAAGCTGGTTGGGGTTCCTGGGAGTTGACATCCAGAATACTCGAGTTTTGGAAGTACTGACTTAGATCATAGAACATATAACAAAAAGGTCTAAATAAACCGTTCAGTGTAAGTACCAGATGAAAAGTTGTGATTGCAATATGTATGAGGCTATATCCAAAAATGTCCATTGAAAATGTCGCTGTCCTAATCAGAGATGTTCAGAATGAATTATTCATTTTTACAGTGAGAAAGAAAGGAACACTTCTCTTTACCTAATTCGTGATATCGACAAATTGTACAACTGGATATGCTGGATAATCTCATCCAGCAAGCGGTCAGTCATTGTATCGAAGTCTGCAAATGTATCTGTCTGTGAAGGAGAGAGGATGGTGTCAATCTACCATTTTTTTTATTGGGCATGCTACACTTCCCATTTCTGATGACTGCACAACCATCACAAAGTGAATGTTTCCCATAAAAAACTTATTACCAAATTGGATTGTGAAAAATAAAATTCTACATCCTGTTCGTCATTTTATTAGTGCTTACTGGAGGGCTGTTGATGTGCTTCTTTAATTCCAAAGTATACCTGGACAATGTTGTGTTTGAAGTTGAATGTAAAGAACAGTAGAAGCAAATACATTGGAATCAGGATGACAAATGCTTCCCCTTTTTTGAAACTCTGCTGTTTTACAAACCAATAGGCTGTGCATTGGCTTCTAAACTAATGAGATGCCAGAAAAATAACCATCAAATGCTGAGGAAGAGATTGAAGGGAAGCATATCCAGTAATTAACATTTTTTGTGAGGCCAAAAAAAAAATATTGCTCTCGCTAATTACAGCTATTTTAAAAGAAAAGGGAGAAAGAGAACATGAATATATTCAATTTTAAATTTCCTTTTTACTAAATATGCAATATAGATGCCTGCCCATTTGCTTGAATTGTTAATGAATGATTTCTCTGGAATTTACTAGGCACAATATTATATGTCATTTACAAATAGAAGAAATTGATCACTTGGGAATAGAAACGTCACATGGATCAGAGACCATATACCACCGAGCACTAGTTACCAGGATCTAATGAAAGAATGCACTGGTTGTGGATTTCCTAGGAATATCAGGTTGGCCTCTGTGGGAAGTGTAATTGCAAAGGATGTAAAAGAAATTGCTCTCACACACTTTGTCATTGTCTATATAACCCTAAAAATTGCATAAATTGTTGATGTTTTGAAATAAACTTTGCCAATCTCAGTCAATATTGTGAACTTGGGAAGTCAGACTTGGCCATGGTGGTCCATGCTCTGGTTACATCCCATATAGATTACTGCAATGCGCTCATGTTGCCTTTGAAGACTGTTAGGAAGCTTCCATTGGTCCAATGGGTGACAGCCAGGTTTCTCACTAGAGTGGCATACAGGAAGCACACAATCCACCTGTTACATCAGCTCCATTGGCTACCAGTCTGCTTCTGAGCACAATTCAAAGTGCTGGCTTTAGTCTACAAAGCCCTAAACGGTTCCGGCCCAGTTTACCTGTCCGAACGTATCTTCCCCTATGAACCATCTTAGATATTAAGATCATCTAGGGAGGCCCTGCTCTCAGTCCCACCTTCTTTGCAAGCGTGACTTGTGGGGACGAGAGACAGGCCTTCTCAGTAGTGGTCCCTCAGCTGTGGAACTCACTCCCTAGTGATATCAGATCAACTCTCCTCCTTCCTAGCCTTTAGAAGGAGAGTAAAAACCTGGCTCTGGAAGCACGCTTTCAAAAAATAGTGCAGTGCAAGAATTTTAATCTGGAATATGTGCAACTGATTATGGAATGGTTTTAGACTTTGATTCCTGGATGGTGTGGTTTTAACATTGGAATGAATTTGAATTATGTTTAATATGTATTAATTTTAATTAAATTTATTTTAAGTTAACATTTGTGTGTCTTAAAGCACTGTGAAAGTGCCACATGTAAGCTGCTTGAGTTCCCCTTGGGGTAGAGAAAGGCGGGGTGTAAATAAGATAAATAAATAAGTTGGATTGAAAGCACTGCTGACTTTTTGTAGATCCTTTGGCTAAAGATTCAACTGGTGTCTCTTTACCTTTCTGCTTAGGTTAAAGGAGCCTTTCATTTCAAGAAAGGGATATGTAAAATCTCGGAAAAATAATCAGTCTACCTGGTTCCTTTCAGACATCAGGAAGTCAAGCTTTCCTCCAGGAAGACCCAGTTCAATGAAAGTTTTTACCAGCCGAAGGTCTGCGCTGTTTCCTTAGAGAAAGCAAAATGGGTATTAAATGGTTCTGCCTTTTTGTTGGAAAGCCTGTGCTGAGCAGATCTAGTCTTCAGGTAGTAATCATGACATTTTTACCCAAATACTTCCCACTGCTTCAGTTTGATCATGCTCATAGACTTCAGAACAAGTGACTTTATCTTTGACATGCAATGTCACTCCACTTCGCCTTCTTCCCTCTCTAATCAATTGCTATATTCCAGTCAAGGGAGACATCCCATCAAATCTATAGTATACATACCCACTTCCTTCATTAAAGTATTTTCCCAAACTCTGTGTTTTAGTGTATATACACCTAAAGCACTGCTTGTTGTAATATTTAATAGGGCTGGGCGGTTTCGTTTCGTAATTTTGCAATTCGTTAAAAAATCGTTATTTTTTTTATAATGAAGCAATAACGAACCATTCAGGAGCAACAAAAAAAAAAACCGAAACGAATTTTTAAATTCATTTCGTAATTGTTTCAAATTTGTTTTGTATTCGTTTTGTTATCGTTTTGAAATCGTTTCGTTATTATTTCCGCATGTCTGGGCAAGTTTTATAGTTGTTTGTTTAATCAGTGAAAAAAATTTATAAATATCGCACCAACAGTCAACAACAGAGGGAGAGGGAAGCTTCACAAGTTCCCCCTGTCCCATTTGGAGGTTTTTTAGCGTATTGCGCGGTTGCGTCCGCCATTAACGAATCAATTCGTAATTATTTCGTAATTGTTTTGTAATTGTTTCATATTGTTTTGTAATTTACGAAATTTCGTAAATATCGAAGTTTTTAAAAGAAAAAATTCGGAATTCTTTTAAAAATCGAAACGCAAAAACCCCCAAAAAACAAATCGATTTTAGAAACAAATTTTTCCGTTGTTACCCAGGCCTAATATTTAACTCTACTATGAGTTTTACTGTGGCTCCAATCGCTTCTATACAATGTGTTGAAAAGCATGTTATCTCTAATTCCACACCACACTCTCAGATACACAATAATTCTCATGGTCTTTTAAAGTACTGCTTACCATCCAGTCCATGAACACAGACCACTAGGTGAATCCCATCTTCAAAATTCTCTTCCTCTTCCTCTGGTGGGAAATATGGGATATCAGAAGATAGTACAGATAAGTCACTGTACAGATATCCTTCAGTCTTCAGCTCCTTTTTAAATTTTTCTTTGGCCTGATAAAAACTGGAAAATACACTAATAAATCACAGGTTGAACTGAGCATTTGGCAAGAAAAGTTTTCTGCTATCACAAGATCTGGGAAAACAAGATTTCTATCACTAAAATTCAGATGTGAACAGCTCATTGCAAACTCTAACAATTCAGGTTACCAGTTATAAATTTACTACTTCCCTGCACAAGTCTCCTATGACATTATATAATTCCTGTTCAGGTATTTCTTATTAGGGATGCCTGGATTTATGAATACTGGTTTTTACAGATTTCTCCATTCTTCGACATTTACTTAGCTCACCTTGGAGTATTATCATGCAGAAAGATAGGAACATTAAAATAAACACAAATAAACACATACATCCCTACCTAACCATCCTTTCATTGGTATCTTCATCCACATCACTGGAATCACTGGAGATGACCCCAAAGGAACCCACTGGTTGGTGTGTGATAGGAGAGGTAACCTGTTTGGAGGAGAAGCCTGCTGTCGGCGGACTCTCTTTGAGAACAGAAGAAAAGGGAAGACAGGTGGCTGTGCAAGAAACAGATAAATTGACTCCTTCAATGGCCTTCTTGCTCTCCAGTACCAGAGTCTCTGGTACCACAGAATGCAGTCCTGAGCTATTTGATGACATTCCTTTGAGCTCTCTCTTTTCCGATTCAGCACAAGAGGTTCCAGACTCAGATGTATTGTCCAGTTCAATTTCTTGCAAATTGTGGATTACTTCACCACATGATGCTGTTTTGCCATTATCAAGTGGGCTACCATAGGGCCCTTTTGTAGAACTGGAACCTGATACCACCACTGATGAAACAGGCATAGTACAAGTAAAGTCTGACACATTAGTCTCACATCCTGAGAATGCCTGCACATCTTTGGAATATGAACTGTGACGTCTTTGCACATTTACATCATTTGTGTATTCATCAAGATGAGCTATACTTCTGTCCACATGGTCATCTATGTTTCCCAAGTTGTCCTCCCTATTTTTGTTTATCAGTTGATGTTCTTCAATTCCACCTGAATCCTGATTTTGCTTTAGGATCACAGTTACTCCTGCTGTTTCCAGGGTACAGTTCACCTTTGAAACACCTTCAAAAACTTTAGGGTGTTGAGAACTTTCACCATTTTGTTCAAAGAAAGATTGCGAATACTTCACTGCAGTAATAGATAGTGGCAGCCCTTCATGTTCTCCATCATTCTGGCATGTGGAGGTCATGCCGGCATACCCTATTTCTACATAAGGCCCCTCAGCAATGTCTGCAATGGTTTGAATATGTTTGGATATATTCATGTCTTCTACAGTCTCCTCAGGACTACTGATCTGAGGAGCAGAGATAGATTTTGTCAGCTTGTTGGGTTCCACCTCCCCCTCTTCCTCCTCATAGGGCAAGGAGCTAATTGAGGTGAGAGAGGCTTGTATGCCACTTGGCAAACTTGTATTGCTTTCAGTGTGTCTGCCTTCCAAGGAGTTCCGATGAGCTGCATGCCTTCTCACCAGCTGGTGAAGGATCTCCCGATCACTGGGCAAGTCCAAGACCTTGCTCCTTGCATCAGACCATGCTACAGAACTTGGCTCACTTTCAATTCCCGAGTCTGAAATTAGAGATGAAGATCTCTTAATGGCCCCTGATCTGGAGCTAAACTCTTCACACTCTTGCATTCTCTGCTCCTGCTGAAAAGATTTGACCCCCTCAACATGTTTTATTTGGTTCAGTAATCCAAACTGTTCATTTGCATCAAAGCCTTCCGAAGCTGGCAATATTGATTCATCACATTGATCTAATTGTTTCTCACAGCTATTTTGTTCTTCTAGTGAGAATTTGTCTGAGATGACAGTAGACCCACAGTAATCACTTTTATTTTCTTGTCTTAATTTAGTCCTTTCTACATGTTTGAGATGTTCATATGTGACACCATCATACATGGAAGTCATGACTAGCATTGGTTCTCTTTGGTGGGATATTGGATGCATGTCTAAATATTCCACTTCTGTCTTGAGTCTGTTGTTTTTCTCTGAAAATTCTATTGGTGGGTTAAGGCCTTCCGAAGAATCTGTAAGGAGATCTAATTGCAAACCATCACTTGCTAACTTGACTTGATTTTCAAGTGCTGGGATACTTCCACTCATTGTGTGTACCTGAGTTGAAGAATGATCCTTGGAACTCTTGACCATAGAACAATCACCTTGTGAAGAGTTGCAGGAATATATTGATTTCCCATTTATCCTATCTGTATGGATGATGAATGGGACATCATTCCTGAAGTCTCTCTTTGCCAAAGCAGTGTCATTGTTTGAAGAAAGATTCCCATCTTTATCTAAGTCCACTTGTGAATTATCCAGAGCGGAAGCCACATCATTTGACAAAATGTCTAAGTCCTGAACTGAAAAATAAAGAAAAGTAAGCATAAATCTAACACATGAAAGTGATGTACAAACAACTAGAAAATCATTGTTTCAGTAAAATCAAAAGCTTATCCTAAACTTGAGGATGAGTGTATGCAAATTCCCAAGTATTTCGAAGAAATCTTGCTAACCTTCATAATCTCTTTAAAAAAAAAAGATTTTCACAAGTTTCCCTGAATGCTTTTGCATGATAAGAAACTTTTTTTGTGTGTAGTAGTCGTCTGGTAATATCATACAAACATGTGGAATAGCACTCACTTTAAAAATCTAATATCTCTTAATCTATATGTACTACCCAAAATATCTATTGTTTTTGCTTAAAAGGAAAGCCTCAGTCCATTTCAAATTTTTAACATTTGCCTGAAGTGACATATGAGACCCAGCAATTTTTCAAGTTCTATTTGAAAAGGTAGAAATTGGGAACAAAGAGGTGCAAAAGGTGGGAAATCCTGTTTGTAACAGGATGGGGAAAAGAGGAACAAGTGCATGAAAATGTATGAAACATATTCTTGTCTTTCTCTGATACACACACACAAAGATGAGACGGTATGGTATAGTAAGTTGAATGCTGGATTAGTATTCTAGAGATCAGGGTTCAAATAATCACTCAGCCATTTCAATATAGGTAAATTGTATTCTTTCACCCTCAAAGGGTGAAGAAACATGGCCAAGAAAAGCTTTAGATAAGTTCGTATTAAAGTTGGCACACACAAATATATTCTCACATCATGTGATTTTGCCTCTATGACATCACGGATAAAATTAATTGCGGTGCAGCTTTCTATGCAAAACTATGCAGTTTTCTACAGGTAAAATCCATTTTTAGTCAAAAAGATGTGCAAGCATTTCACACATAGAATAAAAACTTTAAAGATTCTCACTAAACTAATATTCCTCAGAAGTCCTTCTAAAACTATGTTTAAATTAGTTTTGAATATTCCCTACAAACCCCCCCCCCCCACACACACACACACACATTTCAGAGAATATGCATATAACCCACCTTCATAGGGGAAATCTACATATCGGTCTTCAAAAATAATGGGTAGTGTGCTCCAGTCTCCATCGATGTCGAGGCACTCTACTGGCAAAGGTGGCATGCTGGTGAGGTACTCAGAGTTTCGGACGTCCATTGAAACCTGGTTATGATGTTGGATACTGTTCAGCAAAACACAACAGAAACTCCTAAGTTACTTTTAGAAAGTGTGACATTTAACAAAACGAATGTGAAGTCTACTTTCCCTATGTAAAGTCTGTTTTCCCTTTAGTTGAATGATACATTTGAAGAAGTATGAGGCAAATTTAGCTTATGTTGCTGTAAGCATCTCTGTTCAATGGGGATGACTGCATTTGGATACATTTCCAAAAAAAGGAAAACCAGCCTATAGCTGATCCTAAGTATAAAAATCCTATTACTGATCCTAACTGTAGTAGGCTTATTGAACTCAGTGAGTATGTTCTTGTTGGGACTACCAAGAGGATATAGATGTATATTTGCTTTAAAAGACAAAGACCTGAATTCTATTACTCATGTTTTCTGCTGTAGACAGAATAAATACACAAGATTCACCTATTTGTTGATTCACCAATCAACAAGTGATTCAGTGAATGAGGGTGAATTTATAAAACTATTTTTACATGCCTTCAAATGGGGACTTGCCCAAGGTCACCCAATACATTTCTATAGCCAAGTGGGAATTCAAAACTGGTCACCCAATATCCTAGGCCAGCAGTCAGGTTGCCCCTCTTTCAATAAGAGTCGTATCATTAAACACTTAATTACATGTCTTGACATTAGGGTAGAAAAGAGTTTGGATGGTAGCATAAGCAAATTACATACACAACTCAGCTATCTTCTGCCATATTGTGTATGACCTCTGTTACAAGGAAATATCCATTTGGCATTATTAATAAGGTAAAAAAAAGACAAAACCCTAACACATGAAATTATTTATCAATACAGAATGATGAAACAACTACTATTGCTTATCATCACACCATTATGAAAACAATAAATCCAGAAGTACGTACAGGCTTTCCTGGAAAGTCAACGCAGCAAGCTTTTGATGTTCAGCATAAAAGAAAGCTTCCGAGAATCTTCTTACCTGGTGGACAGAAGATAATGTATAACATTATCAAAACAAAAAAAAAGATATCTATCTATCCAGCCATCCATTTATGCATCACCAATCTATCTTATAACCAATAGGTGTCCTAATAATAAAGTGGTGTGAAGTGAAGGAAGGATCATCTCTCTAACACACAAATCAAATTTTTGAAGAATAAAAAGGCCACTACTTTTTTTTATTACAGCAGCAATATGTCTTGGAATAGCATTAGGAATTGATAATGCTCTTGCTATTTAAGACATCACCTCTGCAGTAATTCAGAGATGACTTTTTCTGGCTTCCAAAGCCTAGTGACCTATCATATCTCTGTTTGGATGCCTGGTTGTAAAGAAGAAGGGGGAACAAACCACATCAGCCTTTCCTTTGGGACCTACAACAAAGGAACTGATTGAAGCCAGCATCCCCATTCCCAAACTCTGTAGCCTTGAAGTAAGCTGGAACTTCACTTTCTCTGTAAGCTATGCCCTTGTGCTGAAGATAAAATCTAATTGTTAGTTTCAAGGAGAGCTGATTGAATAAATGGGAATTGAGTAAAGACCTCACAGGCACCCTCCATGCTGTTTCGCCAGCAAGTATCACCCATCTGGGGTAAAACGTGCTGGTCTTTCTGTGCTGACGAGGAAGTGTCCTAGGATACTTCCATGCCAGTTGGGGGCAGGGCCTCCGCCGAAAGTTGAGGGACATCGTGTAATGGGCTGTGTATTTTCCTCAACTGACTGGCAAGTGTCCTAGGACACTTAAATTGGTAAATGTGATGAAACCTTAATCAACACAAGCATCAGTTTGGTTGATTCAAGTGTTCTATTCCAGTTGACAACTAACAAAATAGATGTGATGGTATGAAACCAGTCATATACCATTGAACCAATCACTAAGTTCATCACTTTCCTTTGGGAACTACAACAAAGGAAAGCAAATCAAGCCACTTTCAAGTAGAAAAGGCTTTCTGTGGAATAGTCACAGAAATGTCTTAATAAGTTAACACATTTTTCTTTTCCAGCAAGATTCAACTGATTACTTAGAAGCACTAAAATATTTTTCATAAAAATTAGGAATTTCTTCAATCCAACATTGAAGTTACCTGGGGTATCTAAAGATACATAAGGAAACCCTATGATTCCACCTAGCATAAATAGCGTACTCAACATCTTCTTATCGTTATGACTTTCTTCTTCTGAGTGTTGCTAGGCATAATTACCCTTAGAGTATGATGTTCCTGAACAAGACTGGTTGTGACATCAGGATGCAATGTTACAATCTCCAAAAATTGGGTCCAGAGAGCCAGAAGATGGGAGCAGAGCCAAGCGAGGTCTTTGCTGATTTGCTCTGCTATCTTTTCAGGATTGTTTAGCATCTAGGAGAATGAAAAATAGATATCGTCAAGTCACTGAGTCTTTAGGCTTCTCTGTCAAAGATTGCTTTTGTCCCACCAAACTACAATTCCTGGCATTCCATAGAATTGAGTTATGGAAGTTAAAGTAGTATGCCAAAAGGCATTAATTTTACAGTGAAGATGTACCCAATGCCATTCTTCATTGTGTTGATCCCACAATAGTTAAAAGAGCATAAAAGGAAAGGACAAAGGTAAGTACATGTACAACTGGATTGTCCTGCTGCATCCCCGGGTGAGCATAGTGTTGTACTGAGACTTAGGAAATCCAGATTCAAAGCCTATTGCATTTTATCCCACTTCCACAACTGTATAAATATGCATTACAACCCAAGATGCCAATATCACTCTGTATTGCATTCTCAGAGGTGGATTGATAAGCATAAATGCCCGTGCAAAATGCAAGTCAGCTAGTCTAAAAGGTGTCACTTGATTTCTTCCCCTCTATTCCTTCTTTTCTTCCTTTTAAGTAGAGAATGATCTTTGTTGCTAGTAACTACTTTTCCACGAGATGGCACTGCTCCATCTATGAAGCACCTCAAAGCTTTTCTCCTGGATCTGCAATATTTCTTTGCTTTGCTTCTCTCAGCAGGGTGGAAAAGCCTACTTCCTTTTTTAGTTCAGAATTAGACAGTTGTGCCTGGTCAAATGCACATATTTCAAGCAGAGATATGGGGGAAAGGGCTCTTTTTGTTCTTTATATCCTGGTTATTTATAACTGCAGAGTGATTTCAGACATGTGATATGGAAGCTGCTGAAAAATTGCTTCTGTGTGGCCAGGTCTTTATGCTGCACAATAAATAGGTACTTTGCAATCAGCAAGCTTTCCAGCAGCAGACAAATTAGGGATGATGTATCAAAAGCTACCAAAAGCCATCAGTCATATCAATTAAATGGACACTCTGCATTCAAATATAATGGGCCAGAGAAAAGTCTAGGCTGCCAGATCTTCTGTCCTCAGTTGCCTTGAAAAGTGTATCTGTGTATAAGCTCTGTTGTATTTTAAGCAACTGAGGAAAGCAGATGCTGAAACATTTTGCTTATTGGTAGAAAATTTACATTCTGTTTCTTAAGTATATATTTTAATGATTAATTACATTCTTCCTGAATTCATAACAGACTGGTGGGAACAATTTTGTTTGCTTTTAAATCATGCATGCAAAAGCACACACAGACCCAGATAAATTTATAAATGGAGGTTGATGTTTGATACATCATGCTTAATGTCCCTTGTAACTTCAATATTGTAACATCACTAAGGTCATCTCTAAGGGCGTCATCAGGGAGAAAAGAGAAAGGCAACGGGGTGAATCTGTTGCCCAGCACACAGCTCCCTCTCAGTGATGCTTTCCCCATCACATGGGAGAAGTGTCACTCTTCTGTGGAGGACCTGTGCTGGCTCCACGGGAGATAGCTCAACATGGGAAGCCCCCTATGTTGTGCGGGAAGCCATTGGTGGGGGTGGAACCTACACCAGAAGTCACATGATACCATGTGATGGCTGGTGTGGGGCTCCATCCAGAAGACAGGGTGAAAGCATCCTAGAATGCTTTTTTAGGTGAGTGTGATGAGGTCGTAAGTCTTAAAACCTAAAACATTTTTAACCTATCTATAGAGGCCATGGGAAGGTGTTTCATAATAAATTAGTAAAAATCTTGATATCAGATTTCCAAGATTTCATCTAGGATTTCTTTTTCTAGCCCTACCTGGGCATCTTTGATGGTTTCATACCTAGTGGTCTCCATCAAGTTACAGGTTATACCCTGCTTACTTTGCAAAATAAAACAAGGTTATGTATGTTTAGGGTAATATCATGGCATAAGTTGACAGAGGTATTGCCCTTATACTCTGGGAACATTCTCAAGTGGCACATCATTATAATACACTTGTGAGGGCATGTGATTTCCTGTGAGTTTGTAAGCTAGTATGACTGGTTTAGTGTTAGGATAGAGGATTACCAAAGAAATACAAGGACTCCCCACGAGGTGAGAAACAAGCCTTTACTACTACTTGAAAGACATAATGACAGTTAGCATTGACATTGATGAAGATGGGCCAATGCTCAGACTCAGCAGAAGAAGAAATGGTCCAGAATGTCTAATCCAGTCAGAGAGTTTGTCTTCCCTTCTAAAGTTAAGCTATGTTTTTCAGGCATAATCTGTCCAAGAATACACTCTTACTTAAGGAAGCCTGATTTTCCCTGTAGATTGTTGACTCCTAACAATCTCTCCCTTTTCTCTTTTCTTTCTCATATAACCATATATCCCACTATTAACATATGTAAGTACCTGCAGCTCTGCAGAAAGTTGAGAAAGTGTTTCTTCAACAGCAAGATCCTCTAGAAAGAAGCAAGGGAGAAGCATGGTAGTTAACAGGAACAGGTAGTTAAAAGAGAAATTTCTTAGAACTTCTTAGAACAGTGTTTCTCAACCATCCTAATGTCATGACTCCTTAATAAAGTTCCTCATGTTGTGATGACCCCCAACCATAAAATTATTTTTGTTGCTATCTCATAACTGTAATTTTGTTATTGTTATGAATCATAATGTAAATATCTGATATGCAGGATGTATTTTCATTCATTAGACCAAATTTGGCACAAATACCTGATGCACCCAAATTTGAATACTGGTGGGGTTGGGGGGGGGGGGGGAGATTGATTTTGTCATTTGGGAGTTGTAGTTGCTGGGATTTATAGTTCACCTACAATCAAAGAGCATTCTGAACTCCACCAACGATGGAATTGAACCAAACTTGGCACACAGAACTCCCATGACCAACAGAAAATACTGGAAGGGTTTGGTGGGCATTGATCTTGAGTTTTGGAGTTGTAACTCACCTACATCCAGAGAGTACTGTGGACTCAAACCATGATGGATCTGGACCAAACTTGGCACCAATACTCAATATGCCCAAATGTGAACACTGGTGGAGTTTGGGGAAAATAGACCTTGACATTTGGGAGTTGTAGTTGCTGGGATTTATAGTTCACCTACAATCAAAGAGCATTCTGAATCCCATCAACGATAGAATTGGGCCAAACTTCCCACACAGAACCCCATGACCAACAGAAACTACTGTGTTTTTCTGGTGACCCCTCCGACACCCACCTTATGTCCCCCCCCCCCCCAGGAGTCCTGACCACCCGGATGAGAAACACTATCTTAGAACTTATAGTATAGGACAGCATCAACCATAGTATTAAAATTAAGTAAACATATCAATCCTTACTTTTGAAACACAAGCTATCTCACATACACATACATATTGCACTTCCTCTTAAATAAAAGACAAATGCTCCCCAATAGATAGACTGATAAAATGGCAGACAGACAGCTAGACAGTCAGACAATCTGTCTTTTGGATGAGATCATATGTAATTTATGCATGGGTCACCATACATATGGAATTTGCCTTCCCATTCAAATTCCAAGGAAGTTCAGATATCTTAAATAGTCCATAAAGCCATATGAAAACAGTGAATATTTGGTGGTGCCCTTTCCAAAAAAAAAAAAAAAGCAGAGCTATTTGTTAGTATCTTCAATCTATCACTTGGCCAACTACAGAAGCATGATAGCCATATTCTGCTGACTTCAAATTCACCAGTGTCTTGCTTCTTTCATTGTCACAGCATCAAATGGCTATCTCACTCTTGGTGCCTATACTGGGATATGTTTTCTTTCCCGGATTATGAAAAAAGCTATAAGTTCTGGAAAGTTATAAACAAATAAACTGCATCTATCTTCACTGGACAAATTATCCACATTGAATGAACTGCCTGTGATGTAAGGAGTCTGTTGCAAGAGCTGTGGTGCAAGTACCAATGAACAACTGATAACATGGTTTGTAAGAGCAAAGTACATTCAAGCCTTTGTATCCACAACTCAACTTTTTACAGCTTGAAAAAGCCAAGTTTGATTTTGCCCTTCTATATAAGAGAAAACATTTACATCAACATTATTTATATTATATTATTATATATAATGCCCAATAGCCTAATTTAAATGTTGTTGCTTCTACTGAGATCTTAAGTGAATTCCATGTTTATAAATAAAATTCAAATGAAATTCATAGCTTTCCCAGTTGTCCTCTTACCTAACTTCAGTTGCGGCAAAGTGGGAATCTCCTTCTTGATGAAGGCATAATACACATGAAGACCTCTATATGCATTCAAGAGCATGAAGCAAAGATCTCTATGCCACTTATGTGCATGTTGCATACAGTTTTCAGATGGCACATAAAAGCTTCCCTGTAGGAGGCAGCAGGTAAAAAAGAACAGGAAAAAAATATTGGAACTTTATAATTCAAATAAATAGCTGTGTTAGACATACACACTCATCTTGCATGAAATCATTGAAGCAATATCACTTGGGAGGGCAAGAGAAGTCTGCAGAAAAATATCAAAAGAAGACTTAACCCACACCAATCCATACTGCTTCCTTAGTTTTCAAAGCAGAGATCTTGAATTGTTCAGTGGATAAAGCAGCAAAGAATGATCATGATACATGTCCTCTCATATTATTTATTTACTTCCTTCATTTCTACCTCGCCTTTCTTGACCCGAGAGGGAACTCAAGGCAGCTTACAAATCCAGCAAAAAATTCAATGCCATATAGGTAAACAATAAAACAAATCTCATAAATATAAGCAATCCAAGCATATAAGCAATTAAAACTCATAACAGTCTATCAAACAAATTAAAAACCACATATAAAATGCAGAGTCATGGTCCCATGTCCAGTGTTGTTGGACATGAGATCATATGTTGAATTTGGTTCTGAAGTTCATATTTAATGGGATCTCTGGTCCAAATCTGCACCGTATCTAGTATTTGCATATCTACCCAGAGAAAGCCAGCATAGTTTGGAGAGTTAAATGACTTGAAGGCACATAACAACAACAACAACAACAACAACAACAACAACAACATATAAGAATAATAGAATAGAATAGAATAGAATAGAATAGAATAGAATAGAATAGAATAGAATAATCTCATTAGAAGATACCACGTGGGCCATCTAGTCCAACCCCTTGCCATGCAGGAAAAGCACAATCAAAGTACACCTGACAGATGGCTATCCACTATCCAGCCTCAGTTTAAAAGCTTCCAAGGAAGGAGCTTCCACTACACTTCGAAGCAGAGAGTTCCACTGTTGAACAACTCGTATGGTCAGGAAGTTCTTCCTAGTATTCAGGTGGAATCTCGTTTCCTGTAATTTGAACCCATTGCTCCAAGTCCTAGTTTCCAGGGCAGCAGAAAGCAAGTCTGCTTCCTTTTCCTTATGACACCTTTCACATATTATACATGGCTATCATATCTCCTCTCAATCTTCTTTTCTGCAGCCTAAAAATACCCAGTTCCTAAAGACACTCCTCAGAGGGATTCATGGTCTTCAGCCCTTTGATCATTTTAGCTGCCCTCCTTTGGACACTTTCCAGCTTGTCAATATCACAGTATTCCAGGTAAGGTCTAACCAAAGTCATTCTTCATTCTGTACCAAGTAAACAATATGTTGGCTAAAATATGACTCATACTTCAGTCAACACTCTCAGATTGATGGGAAATTCAAATCTTTTAAAACTGAGGAACCTAGACTGAATAACTTGGAGACAAAGCAGCAGATCCATAAGAACAGATAATATTTTTTTTTTATTTGAAACAAAGCATCATACATAGCAAAGCTAAACAAAAACATTCTTATTGGAAGTAGAGGGAGAACAAATTTACCCCCCCCCCCCGAAAAAAAGATTTCCATAAGCAGAAGAGAATGCCCGTACACATAATATCCATAACAGGGCAGTGCTTTTTCTGTGGAGTAAATATAAATCCTCAGACATGTTGAGCAAATCTGTACATGTCACTTCCTCACACATTTACATCTTTCAGGTTTGTTGAACTGAAAAGAAAAAAAAATCCCTGTCTTCACCTACCTCAAATACCACAGCTTGAAAAGCTAGCTAACCCCTTTCATTTTGTCTGTTTCCTCAAAGTCAACCCAATCCTTCTTTTTTCAAATACCACAATCGGCTCGACTAAGATAAGGATATGAGTATTTGAGCTAGCTCAACATAATTAATTTTTGAGCAAATAGCAATAACAGCTGGGTATTCTGGATGGTTGCTTGACAAATGCTAACTTAGCATGTGTTAGATCAGAATATATGATCCTAGAGGAGCCTTATGTTATTTTCAAATTAATTCAAAATAACAGAACAAGGTAGATTGACTTGGCAGGCAGTCGGATACTGTGTGCCATGAATTCAGTCTATTCAGAGAATCACAGAGTTGGAAGAGATCACAAGGGCCATCTAGTCCAACTCCATTCTTCCATACAGAAACACAATCAAAATACCCCTGAAAGATGGCCATCTTTGTTTAAAGCCCTCCAGGGAAGGAGACTCTAGCATATTCTGAGACAGTGGATTCCACTGTCAAACAGCTTTCACCATGAGGAAGTTCTTCCTAATATTTCCAGTAGTTTGATTTTATTTATTTTTTTGCTTCATGTTCTAGTCTCTGGAGCAACAAAAAAGAACATAGGGACCACCAAACGCCCAGACACGCATCAAGGAACATGAAAGGCACTGCAAACTACTCCAACCAGAGAAGTCAGCCATAGCAGAGCACCTGATGAACCAACCTGGACACAGCATATTATTTGAGAACACAGAAGTGCTGGACCACTCTCACAACCACCATGTCAGACTACCCAGAGAAGCCATTGAAATCCACAAGCATTTGGACAATTTCAACAGAAAGGAGGATACCATGAAGATGAACAAAATCTGGCTACAAGTATTAAAAAACTCAAAAATTACAACAGCAAAACAACAGAGCGGAAACAAACAGGCACATAAAATCACTCTCAACAAGAGATTCCCCCCAGGCGCTTCCAGGCCATTGAATGCAAATCAAGGTGATCAGCTGAAACATTACCCTGGTCATCCCACAGATATATAAACCCATTTTCCTACTTCCAACAGACCTCACTACCTCTGAGGATGCTTGCCAAAGATGCAGGCGAAACATCAGGAGAAAAATTGCCTCCAGAACATGGCCATATAGCCTGGAAAAACCTACAACAACCCAGTGATCCCGGCCATGAAAGCCTTCGACAATGCATTGAACAAAAAAGAAGTTTACTCTCTCCTCAATGTGACATCTTTACAAATATGTGAACACAACTATCATGTCCTTCTTTGACTTTCCTTATCCAGGCTATGCATGACCATATCCCTAAAGTGCTCCACATAAGACATGGCTTCCAGGCCTTTACCATTTTAGCTGCCCATTTGACACCATTGCTTTCAAATGTGGGTTTCCTTGATAAATATTACCATTTGACATAAAGTATGGCCACATGGTGGTTGGTACACATGTCAGTTAACATATTCAACACAATTAAGTGGTTAAGCTTCTCCTGGAATTTACCATTCCCACTGGCTTAAATTCATTAATTCAGGATACAGCTAAATCTAGATCTGAACAATCAATCCCAACAACTTGACTACTAGACAATTTCAAATTATTTCCCATAAGTAATGCCACAATGCATCTTGGAACAGGAGCATCATAGAATCATAAACCATCTTTTTAATTTACATCTCACACCATTGTAATTGCCACCTTGCTTTGCATTTATTGATTTACTTCTCTTCCGTAATGTGGCAGGTCATTATGGAATATTTACAAGATACTACGAACAAAGAAATAGTTATGATTGTATTGCTGTGAATTATTTTCTTTTGATGAGAGACATTTTGAAATAAGCTATAAAAAGAAACAATTAGGAAGAAGAATCAATGAAGGAATTAGCATATTTCACAGTATGTTTCTGGCTTCTTTAAAAATGAAAGGCCAATTAAAACCTCTGTTTTAACAGAGGGGTGGTATGCTCTTGTTAATAGCCTGGCTGCTGATCTTTGCACTAATTGTAGTTTCCGAGCCATCTTCAGAGCCAGCACCATGTAGAGTGCATTGAGATAACCCATTCAAGATGTAAATAAGGCGTGCACAATCATTGCCAGGTCTGCCTTTTTGAGGTATGGGTGCAGTTGGCACACAAGTTTTAGTTGTATGAAAGCCCTCCTAGCCACCGCTGACACCTGATCCTCCAGGGTCAATAATGACTCCAGGAGAAACCCCAGACTGTGGACCTGCATCGTTAGGGGGAGTTTTACCCCATTGAGTACAGGTTGCCACCCTATACCCAATTGGCCTCACAACTGACCAGGAGGACCTCTGTCTTGTCTGTATTCAGCTTCAGTTTATTAGCTCTCACTCAGCACATCACACCTGCCTGTTCAGGACCCAGGCAGCTTCCTTGGCTTTAGGTGGAAATGAGTAATGAGTGTAGAGGGAACACCAAATTCCAAAACTCTGGATGACTTCTCCCAGCGGTTAATAATACCGTCTTTATAATAAATAATAATATCGTCTGTTATATAATTATAATAGTTATAATAATGCGACCTCCACCACCATGGATATGTGGACTCCATTTTTCCCTATACATAAATGTCATTGTTCAAGAAAGCATTAACACACACATGCCCACAGAGACCATTTAAGTTGTTCCAATAGGCATGTTGCTACTGTGTGACTTACAGGTCTTCACCTTATGGCAACCTTATAGAAAACCTATCAAAATGTTGTATTGGCAAATTTTGTTAGGAGGTGCCCTTGCCTTCCTCTGAGGTTAAGAGAATATAACATTCCCAAGTCACTCAATGGGTTTCCATGATCAAGTGACAATTCATACTCTGGTCTCCAGGCAAGTAGTCCAATGTTCAAACCATAGAATTAGCTTTTGTGTCTTTATGCTCTGCTTTGCTGATGGAAAAGCTGTCAATAAGCTTATCAAGCAGCTTTTCTATCATCACAGTGTGGTAGAAAGTCACACACCACAGCATCCCTTATTAAGAAACAGTAGAAGACTGAGGTTTAAGCAAGCTTTCTGCTTCCTCCCTGGAGTCACGGGTTCCATTCAGGTGCTGTCAGCTCTTATTGGCAGAAATGTAAGTTGCTACTCTGCTTTCACTTATCACACTGTGAAGTTTCACAAGGAACATTGTGACCTGTCAGGATAAGAAATGGCACCCAGTCACTGTATCCACTCAAGAGGCCCTCCTGACATCTGCAGGAATATCACCTTGCTATCAAGCCATCTGCAGAGTATCTCAGCTAACATGACCTGTCTTCTTTCCGTAGAAATGAAGGATTGGAGAAATGATGCTCTTACACAAC